CCAGGGGGCGGGCTGGCTGGCATGTGGTGCTGGGGGATCGAACCGCGGTCCCTGTGCTTTGCTAAGCTTGCTCTAAGTAGGTGCTTTAGACCACTGAGCCATCTCACCAGCCCTAATTTAAGTTTTTATAGTGATTATTATTTAAAACATTCTGTACTTTTTATTCAGTGATTATTTTAGATATATGGTATTTAGCAATGGTAAATGTTACCTCTTACCTGTATATATCTATATCTGTACATCAAGCATATTCCCTCCCTCCCTCCCTCCCTCCCTCTCTCTCTCCTTTGGTATTCTAAGACAGGGGCTTGCCCAGGCTGGCCTCCAACTCACAGCAATCCTCCAGCCTCAGCCTCCCAACAAACATATATTACTTTAGAATAGCTTCATAAGCATGTGTCTGGCACGCTCAAGGTCCTGAGTTTGATTCCCAGTAACCCCCCCCCAAAAAAAATTCGTTAAAAAGACAAAATAGGGGCCAGGGAGATGGCTCAGCATAGTAAGCGCTTGCCTGGCAAGCGCAAGGGCCTGAGTTCAATCCCCGGTTCTGCCAAAAATAAAATAAAATAAAAAATAAATAAATACAAATAAAAAGACAAAATAGTTTTAAAGATTAAAACAAACACCCCTTAAAAATGATAATCTCGGGGCTGGTGAGATGGCTCAGTAGTCTAAAGCACCTACTTAGAAGAAGCTTAGCAAAGCACAGGGACCGCGGTTCAATCCCCCAGCACCACATGCCAGCCGGCCCCGCCCCCTGGTGGGCTGAGCTGGCCACACACACACACACAGACACATACACACAAAATGATAATCTCCAGTATTATTTACTTATTTTCACAATCCCAGGGATTGAATCCAGGGCCTTATACAAAGTAAGAAAGCTCTGTACCACTGAGTTACATACACAGCTCCTCAGTGTTTTCAGAGTACAAAAGAAAGTCTAGAGATATCTATAGTGGAAATTGGTTCAGATTATTAGGTATAGTTTGAAAGTTTTTTTTTTAAGCCAGAAATTCTAGTTCTAGTAATTTTTCTAAGCAAACAACTAAGTGCAGGTAGATATATGAACCAAAGAGGCTCACTGCCACACTGGCAGTGCTAGCAAAAAACAAAACAAAAACAAAGCCAAACTTCTTTAATGGGGATGATCAAATGAAGTGTCCTAATTTTATCCAATTAAAATTCGGCCTGGCATTGGGCAAGGCCTGCATTCCATGCTTAACACACACACAGCCCCATAATACAGGGCTTTAACACACCTGATATGAAAAAGTACTAAGTTTACCAAGCATTTAGAAAATATAATTCAAATAAACTCATTTCTGTTTATGAAATAAAAACTACTGCTGATCTTGATGGGTCTTTCATATCCTTAAAGGACTCAATCAATCAATCAATCAATCAGTCTATCTATCTTTTTGAGACAGGGTCTCACTATGCAGCTTAGGCTGGTCTTGAGCTCACTTTGTAGCCCAGGTTGGTCTCGAACTTTTAAGGATACTACGCCCTCAGCCTCCCAGTGCTGGGACTATAGGCACGCACCACCACAACCAGGTAGAGATATACTTTCTTTTCTTTTTTTGTTTGTGGAACCGGGGATTGAACTCAGGCCCTTGCGCTTGCCAGGGAAGTGCTTATTCTACTGAGCCATCTCCCCGGCCCCTACATTTCTTTAAATGCAAGCACTTGCATTTTTTTTTTTTTTTGTAGTTGTTTATTTAACACAATCAGCTATAACTGTTATTATCAGTTTTTTCCTGGGAAGTAAGTCTATCTTCTCTTGGATCCCTACTGTAGGTTCACGATTTCACTATCCCTCAGGAAAAGATGAAGAGGTGACAGGGAAGGATGACACAGTTGGACAGAATCCAGCCTCCTCACCAATACCATGTATTCTTTTATACAACTGCATAATACTCCACTCACATCATTTGCTGTAGCTACTCTATGGACAGCTATTTCTTTTTTTTTTTTTTTTTTAATTTTATTTATTTATGTGCGCGCACGCGTGTGTGCGTGTGTGTGGCCAGCTCAGCCCACCAGGGGGGCGGGGCTGGCTGGCATGTGGTGCTGGGGGATTGAACCGCGGTCCCTGTGCTTTGCTAAGCTTGTTCTAAGTAGGTGCTTTAGACCACTAAGCCATCTCACCAGCCCCTATGGATAGCTATTTCATTTCCAATGCTTTTTCAGTTATAAACACTTCCAAATTTTATATCTATCTATCTATCTATCTATCTATCTATCTATCTATCTCTATATATCTCCATCCATCCTAAGAAATGAAACTGTTGGGTTCAAGGGCATGCACATTTGAACTGACATTCCCAATCTACCCCTCAGAGTGACTATGCCAATTTGTGCTTCCACCAACTTTGTTCAAGAGATGCTCACGAGCTCTCAGTTGTATGGTGCTAAGTATCTCCTCCTGAGACTGCTGAAAAACTTTGTATTCAATGCCATTACTTACCCATAGGCTCCTTAATAACACCATAATAATCTGGTGCATCGTTAGGGTCTACTGGCTCAAGGAAAGGCCAGGCCATCTTATGAGCCTATAATAAAAAACAGGCCTCATTACCACCAGGTGGAAAGACTATTACAGTTCTCAATCAAGTTACCACACCAACACATTGCTGAACTCCAAGCTTTAGGGGCCATGGAGGGTGTGCCCCGATGCTCGCCTGGTGACCTGCCTCTGAGCGAAGCTGGCACCATCACCCCCAAAAAGCTACGGCAGGCAGGGTCAGAGTACAATGGTCACCACAGCTGGGTAAGGAGGTGGCAGCCACTGAGAAGATTCTGAGTCTTTCTCAGGTCCTCTACTTCTGTGATTTTGATTATGACAGGAGAAAAGTTGCAGTTGAATGCTGTTTTGATTACTTCTCTAACATCTTCAATCTTAGAAACCACCATGTTTACTCCCTTTTTTATTTCTAATAAAGAAGGGAGTAACTAGAATAATTGTCCTCCAATCTATGGCCATGAAGTAACATCTTTAGAAACTCTAAAGGTAAAACAACAACAAGCTGAGTTATTTTTTATTTTGCGGTACTGGGGATTGAACTCAGGACCCTGCACTTGCCAGGCAAGCGCTTATTCTTCTGAGCTATCGCCCTGGCCCCATGAGTCCTTTAACTGAGATTGCTACATAAACAAGAGCTAAGGTGGGTGTATGAAAATGGTCCATCTCATGCCTCTGGCATTTGGAGGGCCCAAGTTTGTCAAGTCCCCCAACCCAAAAGCTGGAGTGGGCAAATAACCAGACACTTAAAGCAGGGAAGTTCAAACCTTAGAAGTGTTTCTCTAGTCTTGTAGGCTGATTTTCCTTTCAAATGCTGCTCAGGGGCCCTCACCTGTAAGGAGCGCAGTACCCTCTTCAAGCCCTCGTAATCTTTCTCCGTCAGTGGCGTGAGCACTGTCATGGCGTCCTCTGTGGACTGGCACTGTGGACAGACATACTCATCAATGAGCTCTGCCTCACTCTGTAAGATGCCGACACAGCGCCCATGGTACCAATTCTGACACCGATCACAGCCGATATAAAATCTGTAAGATCCGAAATGGAAATGTGAGTCCACAACAGACGAGATAACATCACTTATTATTTGCTTTTGGAAATAAAACATGCAACTGAAAATGGGCTAAACCTGGGATATGAAATAGCTTTTTAATATACTATGGTTGTTTTTTCTCTTAAGATTGACACTGAAATGTGTTAATTTAGTATTTCTGGTGTTAAGAACAAGTAGTAAAAGTTTACTAAGAACACCGTGATACTGAAAAATCAGTTGGAAGAAAAATGTGAAACATTTAATTGATTTTAAAGCTCAAAACTAAATGAAGTAAAAAATCTTTCAACTATTACCATATCAAATGGGAGTACAAAATCCTGTAAGCTAATAACTGAGTTTCAGAGATTGTACCAAAATTAGTGTTCTTCTACCCTACAATAAAGCACCATTTCAAACACTGACAAAGTCCAAATGAGTCAGGCTATTTTATTTTATTTTTATTTATTTATTCATTTAGTGTGTGTGTGTGTGTGTGTGGCCAGCTCAGCCCACCAGGGGGCGGGGTTGGCTGGCATGTGGTGCTGGGGGATTGAACCGTGGTCCCTGATGCTTTGCCAAGCTTGTTCCAAGTAGGTGCTTTAGACCACTGAGCCATCTCTCCAGCCCCAGTCAGGCTATTTTAATCTCATTAATTTCCATGTTAAAATACTGAAGAATCACGTCTACCATTAAATCAAATCCCCCCAGGGCATCTCAAGCATTCACTATGAAGCAACACCAATTTTGAAGGGGAGGTAAAGAGGGAAAAAGAAAAAACGGAAAGGAATTTGTAATGTAAGTGTATAATATACGCAGAAAAATATCTTTCTTTTTATTTTAAAATAAATAACCGGTCCGAGCAATTTGGCTTCCTACAGTATTAAAGATGATGCTCTTATCGGAACTCACTGTGACTCATCATAAGGTGTTCTGCAGATACAGTACAATTCCTCACTGCTGCCCTCTTGTGCCCGTTTACAATCATTACAGATGTACACATCCATTTTCTTAGCCTCCTTTTCTGTGATGCCAACACATTCTCCATGATACCAGTTAGTACAAAGATCACAGCCAATATAGAACCTAAAAGTATTCACAATGAAAATGACAATGTAATTGTCATTTTGAGCTGCATGGTACGTAAATCTGTCTTCCCTGCCTTGACTCACTTTCTTACAGAGTAACTTTCTGCAATGAGTCAGCTAAACATCCTGAAGCTAACCATTCTACTCCTGCAGACTACAGCATCTGACACTGTATCTGGCGTGAAAACATCAAGGCGCTCACATCAATTTCAACAAACACACTGTTTAGTGAAATATGGATCTTTAAAAACACACTCGAACTTGAAAAAATAAACAACAGACTGATGGTGATGTCTTCCTCATAATGAATGTGTGTAAAACTGTAACAGGCACAAAAACCAAAGCCAAAGAATCAAAGACTTACATCTGTCAAACCTATGCCACAGAAGCCATTTCAATATCAGGGCTATTTCTTAGATAGGTTTGAAAATGTATCTCACAATTTAAACTTGAAAACAAAGCGAAGCGCAAACACCAAGTAGAAGTTACACTGCGAGGAACATGCAGGGCAGCCAAGTGCAGAAGATAAATGGTCAAAACATGGTATGAAGGAAACTAAGGAAGGTGCATGTAGTAGCTCAGTTTCTACCAAGTTTTCTAAATAGAAATTGGAATTTCATCTGAATAAGGTCATCTCTCATAGTGGTTAAAGCGTGGGCTGCTTTTCAGTTAATACAACAGCAGTGTGACTAATGTGGAAAGTAGCCTGGCTCAGAACTGCCCTCCTGAGGGAACTGCTTCAACTCAAAACCAGCTACACACGGCAGGGAGCGTGAGGGGAGAAGAGTTACCTAAAGCGCTGGAAGGCACCGTGGGAGCTGGCCAGGGTGGTGGCGGGGAACCTCTGCAGGCTCGGGCGTGTGTGGGTGTGCAACGGTAGGTGCCCTAAAGACAAACTCAGAAGGATCTCTGTGATGACTGCAGTGTATCTAAACTTGCTGATACACATAGGCAGGAATGTCACAGAGTCACGGCAAGTGTTAGCAGGAATCACAAGGGAACCACGTTGGCTTGGGGGCACCACTGGCACCCTCTAGGGGTTTTTTTCTGTGTGTGTGTAGGGTGTCAATACACAGCCCAGATTTGTAGTGATCCTTCTGATTTCTGCCTCCCGAGTGCTGGGATTCCAGGCCCGCGCCACCACACCTGGAGACTCCATCGCTGGCTCAGCTTGCCTGGGGACAGGGCCTGTGCAGCACGGGGAGCCAGGGATCGAACCCTGGCCCCTATGCTTACTTAAGCAAGCGCTCAGTCCGCCGAGCTATACCTCCAGCCCACCACTGGCACCCTCTGTTCTAGCATGTTCCTGGGCAGATTCACCTAGAACAGTGATAGCAAACCTTCTAGAGCGTTCCATAACAGCCAGTCAGCTGTGGCACGGGTGCTATAGGTTTGCCACCAGGGACCTACATGAATAGAAATGGTTCTCAAACCACAAACTGACCTGCGCCATGAGTGTGAAGCACTAATACGGAGTCTTACACTTTATCTGATTACCGGTAACTCTGTATTCTGATGACTGTCACATGTACTTCCTGCCAAGGGTGGGGGTCTTCTGAGGCATGTTGGTATGCTGTCTCCTCTGAGGGGTGGACATGTGTTCTGGAAGTAAGTTTAGGCCTTGTATTTTAACTTTTGAGTCATGCTTATCGGATTCTCAAGCCAAGCCAGGGAGATTTGGTATGAGAGATTACAAAATACACCTAAAAACCCTCCTTCAAACAAGAACAATGAGTAAATTAACCTGACATACTGAAATGTTAATGGCAAACTGAAAAATATGGAATATCCACAAATTAATGAGGCAATTTCAATAAAATGAGCACAAAGCACAGGTGTACCTCATTTTACAAAACTCTGACATTCCAAAAAAGTTGTGTGTGAAATTAATTTTTCTGTGATTTGAATACTTTCAAAGGGCCAAAGAAACTTTATGCAAAGAATTCCACAAGCAGATCCTTTTACGAAGAGTGACTATTGCTTCCGCAATCTGTGTGTTTTGCTTAAAGTGAGGCACACTTGTAACAGACTAAGGGAAGAGTCAGTTAACAGGCTCCACTTTGTGGGTTATGTACAGTTGCCAATGAGGTGAGACAATGAGAAGTGGTGAAGATGCCTGAACTGTCTCTGTTCAACAGGGAAACCCATCAACAGGGTTTTCATCTGGCATTCTGCACACAGATTCTCAATTAGGGTACTTTCAATGCTGTCACACAAGTATCATTAAAAAGATCACAATTTTATTTTAGACATCCATTTAAGTAGACATTAGATATTCTGAAATCTGAAAGGTCATTTAAAAAACAAACTTTTAGTACTACAGAAAATACTGTGGTTAATTATGGCTTTAAAAAGTCGGCCTATATCTTAATGCTCAAAATAGACGTCAAATACTTTATCCACTGGTAGTGATGACCTAAATAAATAAAACTACGTTTGTGGACTATCTTAAAAACAAATCACAACTGTCAAAAACAATTTCCAGATGCCATGCTACAAATTTTTGAGTTTCACAGTTAAAAAATAGGTAAAAGGAACAGTTTTTTCTCTTTGTATTTTTCTGGCTTTTGTCCCCCAGACTGGGAACTCTGACAAAAATATTAGGTTGTGGTATTTCAACACAAAAAAAGAATTGTAAAAAACCAAACCAAAATGAAAAATAAGACCACCAAATCACTATGAACCATTCCAGTTTGAAGCACCCCCCCGTTTTTTTGGTAATGTATTTAGTTCAGGGTCTCACTACGCAGGTCAGACTCCTAGTGGTCCTCCTGTTTTCAGACTCCCATGCACTAGGATTACAGGCGCGTGCCTCCACGCCCAGTCTCAGTTGCCATTCCAGCGCACCTTGGAGGTGGGGCCGGCAGGGCATGCCAGGTATTGAACTCCGTGAAGCCTCTTGCATCACAGTGAGATAGATGCCAGGATCTTGAGATCCCAGGAAGGAAATTCTCAATACTGGGATTCAAGAGTAACACACCACCTTCTCCAGTCATATTACTGATCGACTTGGAGTTGAAATAGAACAGAAGAAAGCAAAGAGCAGCAGAAAGCTTGTTTTTGACAGAAAAGAATATAACGAGGACACACAAGACTTGTGAACGTATGAAATAACAAATTTTACTTCACTGTAGTCACAGTTAAAGATATGAGATGCAAGACCAGAAATGAAACATTCCCTCACACTGGATTATCTTCATTTATATTATTAACAATACTCATTTTCCTCAAAGTATCAATTAACAACTTAAAACAATATAAACTAGAGCTCAAAAAGATCTACTCACTTAGATTCATCATAAGGCGTTTTACAAATACAGTAAAGCTTTGTGTCCTTCTTAGTTTCCTTTGAGGTAGTAGAGATCATTTTCTTTTTCTTGGACTTGGAGCTGGAGTCCTTCTCCTCCTCTCGCTTCCTCTTCTGGGAAGCAATGGGCGGTGGGGATCCAGGGAGGGCGGCAGGTGGCAGGGCAGTTGAAGGTGGGGATGGAGGGGCTGGGGCGGCTGCAGTGCGTGGGGGGGAAGGCACAGCAGCTGTGCTGGCCTGCACCGCCTGCACCAGCTCCTTTTCCTTCTTCATTTTCAGGTCTCGCTTCAGCTCCTCCTGTTGTCAGTTAAAGACGACACAAGATGATCCTTAGGGTTCTGTAAATGTACGAGCTGACCCCTGGCCAAAGCAGCTCCCTACCTTGGCCTGGTGTGAGACCCTTAGTAATTGATTCCAAGGAGAGCTTTCCTATTTTATTGCTGGGATCGTGGGAGTAAAGCCAGGCCCTCGGGCATGCTAGGCAAGTGTCCTACCACTGAGCTAATTCTCATCCCAAATTTTCTTTAACCCATTTAAATTAGTCAGAAACAAAAAATAAAGACTACACCATTAGAAAACTGCTAGATGTCCTCAAAGGAGATCAGACAAAAAGGTGAATATGTATCAAAAAGAATGAATGCGCCTTCTGGCTCAGCTGGTGCTGGCCTGGTGATTTCAGTAGTTGCTCAGGATGGCTTTCAGGTCCTCACCCGCAAGGTGCTTTCTTTTGCCCCACATTCTTTGTTTTTGGTACTGAGAATGGAACTCAGGGCCCCATGCCCGCCAGACAGACATCTGTGCCGCTGGGCCACATCCCGGCCCTGGCCGCTCAGGCCAGTCCTCACAGAAGACTGAACACAAACCCAACATGGTAGTCAGGACACGGTGTGCGTACACGAGCAGGACAGGTGGCTGGGCTTGTGCTTCAGTCCCTGTGTCCAGGTGGTAATGGGTAGGCTCAGGGAGAAGAAGGTGCCACTAGCTTTCTCACCATAAGTTTTGAAATAAAATCCTGACTTTTCCATGTGAAACACCCTTTAGACAGACTTTTGCCACAATTTCTTCTTGGAGATAATGACTAAAGCCAACTGTACCACCCAGAGAAAGCCCACTGGGACAGGTACCAAGACATAAACATGGTACAAGCAAATAAAAATCTTGGGAATTTATAAAATTCCACAGTAATTAAATATGAAAAATAGTTCAGATACGTTTTCTTCATAATTATTTTCCTTTCAAAACTATATATGGGGCTGGCCAGATAGCTCAGCAGATTAAAGTGCCTGCTGAGGCATATGCTGGGACAGGGGTGTGATCTCCTGCATGCCTTGCTGGCCCTGCCCCCAGGTGCAATGAGACATTGACTGAAACTGGGTGTGGTAACATGCCTGTAATCCCAGCGCATGGGAGGCTTAAAACAGGAGGATCACTACGAGTCTGATCTGTGTAGTGAGACCCTGTGCTAAATACATTAAAAAATTAAAACTATATACGGGTCCTGGGCATGCCACGCTGGTTCTGAAACCACATGTGGTGGCACATGCCTGTAAGCCAGGTGCTGGGGAGGCTGAGACAGGAGGATTACTACAAGTCTGAGCTGCACAGCAAGACTGTGTACCAAATAAGTAAATAAATGAATGAATGAACGATTAAAAAAGAACAACAAAACAAAACAAACCCAAACTCTAAACTATACATGGATTAAGAACAGTAACTTAAATAGTTCAGATTTCCTTTTAAAGAGTTTTTACAGGGGCTGGTGAGATGGCTCAGTGGTCTAAAGCACCTACTCAGAACAAGCTTGGCAAAGCATCAGGGACCGCGGTTCAATCCCCCAGCACCACATGCCAGCCAGTCCCGCCCCCTGGTGGGCTGAGCTGGCCACACACACACCTCCCTCTCTCTCTCTCTCTCACTCTCTCTCTCTCTCTCTCAAATAAATAAAAAAAAATAAATAAAAAAAGAGTTTTTACAGAAGCCTGAATTTTTTTGGCCTCCTAAAAAATAAAAATTATTGCATTCTTTTTTTTTTTTTAGTTTATTTATTGTGTGTGTGTGTGGCCAGCTCAGCCCACCAGGGGGCGGGGCTGGCTGGCATGTGGTGCTGGGGGATCGTACTGTGGTCCCTGTGCTTTGGTAAGCTTGTTCTAAGTAGGTGCTTTAGACCACTGAGCCATCTCACCAGCCCCAAATTATTGCATTCTTAATTAGAATGATTTTTGCTAAGCCCTGGTTCTTAAAATGATTCTTAATTAGAATCATTCTTTAAAAAAATGCAAAAAAACCCCCAAAAAAAACAAAAACAAAAACCCAAAAAAACAAACAAACAACAACAACAACAACAACAACTTTAGGGGCCGGGGAGATAGCTCAGTAGAATAAGCACTTGCCTGGCAAGCAAAAGGGCCTCAGTTCAATCCCTGATGGGGGGGGGAGCTAATATTTGAAGGACTCTAGGTATTTAAGGTTTAGAGAGCGGAATCCTCTGAGTGTCGTATTCCTACAACAGAACAGCACATAAAAGAATGAAGCCCCTTATTTAAAAAAATATATTTATTACAGAGTCTCACTATGTAGACTGGACTCAATGATTCTCCTATTTTCAGCCTCCCAAGCACTGGGATTACAGGTGCACCACCACACCAAGACTCAATCCCCTTCTCAGTGTGCCCTGCGGGTGGGGCTGGCATAGAATGCCAGAGATTAAACACAGGCTACTGCGTCTGTCTAAGCAGGTGCTTTAGTCCGCTGAGCTCTTAAATTCTTTTTTTTTTTAAATTTTATTTATTTATTTTTGTGTGTGTGTGTGTGTGTGTGTGTGTGTGGCCGGCTCAGCCCACCAGGGGGCGGGCTGGCTGGCATGTGGTGCTGGGGATTGAACCGTGGTCCCTGTGCTTTGCTAAGCTTGTTCTAAGTAGGTGCTTTTGACCACTGAGCCATCTCACCAGCCCCAGCCCTGGTTCTTAAAAAGCAACTGTTCGTGACTTATTTTTCTGCTTGTTTTTTTTTTTTTGGTGGTACTGGGGATTGAACTCAGGACCTTATGCTTGCAAAGCAAGCACTTATTCTATTGAGCTATCTCCCCAGTCCCTCTGCCTGTTTTTGCTTTATGGTAGTTTCACATAAATTTTAGAGACATGCGCTGGTGAGATGGCTCAGTGGTCTAAAGCACCTACTCAGAACAAGCTTAACAATGCACAGGGACCGCGGTTCAATCCCCCAGCACCACATGCCAGCCAGTCCCGCCCCCTGGTGGGCTGAGCTGGCCACACACACACACACACACAAATAAATAAAATAAATAAATAATAACTTTAAAAAATAAATTTTAGAGACATAATAAATTTTCCTAATGAAAAAAGAAAGGAATAATTTAAACAAATACCTACAGCTGCAGGAATTTTAGTTTCTTTTCTTTTTTATAAAGGAATTTTAGTTTTTAAAAGAGATCTTACCTGTAAATACACGAGGGGGGGGGGCGATTTCAAGAATTTTTACAACCAAGACTGTGGCAAATTAAAAAGCTAAAACACCACATCACAAAAATATCAGGAGCCAGATGTGGTGGCACACACCTGAAATCATAGTATGAAAACCTTGGGTTCATCCCCATTACTATGAGGAAAAATAAAAGCCTAACGAAGAAATATCATGCATGGTCCTAGTTTAATGAGCCTTTTCTTTGTTAAACACCTAGACCAGTGGTAGCAAACCTACAGCACATGTACTGCAGTGAGCTGCTTGTATCATTGAAACCTTTAAAAGGTTTGCCACTACTGGTCTAGACAGTTCTGTGAGAAGATAAGCAGCGTGACTAACTCAACAGCCCTTCTTCATTGAAGACAGACTGCATGTCTTCCTAGGAAAGAAAGTAAATCTTTAGTTTCACTTTCCTATTTTGTCTTACATGCTAGTTAACAACACAGAGGTAAAGACTGTGTAGGGCTATACACATTTTGATAATCCTTTTTCCTATAAAAAATACCACTAATAGTAGTAAAATGTGAAAAAAGACTAGCTGGGTGTGGTGTTGTATGCCTGTAACTCCAGCACTCAGGAGGCTGAGGTGGGAGGAATGCCATGAATGAGGCCATCAAGGGCTACACAGTGGGACCGTGACAAAAAAAAAGATAGAAAAAAAAAAAAAAAAAAAAGGCATGAATAGCAAGGTACAGGCATGCCTGAGCAAGAGATAAACAGTGCTCTGGCACAGGAATATAAAACTGAGCAGCACTAGAGGTGCAGGCTTTAGGTGTGCTACCACCCAGAGTTGCACTGAACATGATTCATATGAGCTGGGTGCTGACAGCTGGCTTCTTACAGCAAGGTGAGAGCTGAATGGGCTAACGGGGGTTTGAAAAAGAAAGCAAAACCCAAACTCATTTCCCCTTCAAACTCTTTTCACTCAAAATACATTCTTAAAACTCAAATGTGAAAAAAAGAAAATGTGAAAAAAGACCAAAAATAAGAGAAAACGTATGACTCTGACGCTGGGGAGACAGCCTGGTGGTGTAAGTGCCTACTGGCAAACATAAGCACCCAGGCTGAAACCTTGGTTCACCAGAACCTGGCGTGGTGGCGCACACCTATACTGTCAGCTGCTGTACCAAATAAATAAATAAATAAATAAATAAATAAATAAATAAATATTCTAATTTTATTCGAAATGAAATTGATTTCACAGAATTTGACAAAAAATTATACCATATATTAAAAAGTGAACGAAGAGTTATTTTATGAAAAACCAAGCACATGGTGAAGGCAGCGGGATACAAAAAATGGAGCACTGTTTTGAGGACAGTGTACCTATTATTTTTTGTACCGGAGATGGCACTCAGGCCCGCGCTTGCCTAGCACACCCTCCCTGCCCTCCCTAAGCTTGCAGACAGACGCGAACGCCTGCACACTAGCGTGGCCTGCAGGGAAGGCCGACGCCACCTACCGCCCTCAGAGCGGAGGCTGCGAGCCCCGGGCAGCGGCGCCCGCCACCTGCAGCCGGACAGGACTCGGCAGGCGCAGCCTCCTGCTGAGACACCCGCGCGCGACTCAGCGGGCTTCAGGCTGACGCCAAACTTCTGCTACTACCAGAACTGTTGCGAATGGCTTTCTGCAATTATCTTGCTTGTTCCAGGTTAATTTCTACAAGTGAAATTATAGCTCACAGGACATCCACACTGTAGTGTTCTAAAACCCTAAAACCACACCGAGGAATCGTACTCCAGAAACTTACATCGCTAGCCTGACACGTTCGGTGTCAGCACTCCGGGAAGGGGAGGCGGGAAGCCTGCTAGTTTGAGCTCTGCCTGCGGACACTGTGAAGCCTTATTTCAAAGAAAAAAAAAGGGCCGGAGATGTAGCTGAGTGAGTAGGCCTTGAATTAAACCATACTGACCAAAGAGAGGTGTAACGCAGGTCCTACTGTGTAGCAGCCAAGAAAAAAGAGCTATGCCCACAGCTGTATGCCTACCACGCCATCATGGCGGCTAGCAGCGTGGCGAGGCTGACTTCCGGCACGCTCTCAGGGTCATACGAACTTCATCTTTCGACTTCCGCGCGCCAACCCTCGTCCAATCAGTGCCCGTCGCGTCACTGCACCGCCCGCGTAAACCCCGCCCCTAGCCTAGTCCGCTAAAAGCTCCAACCTGTCTTCAGGGGCTCCTCTTTCGGCGCCCAGCAATAAATTAATTATTTGGGTTCACTCGCTTCTGTTTTGCACCAGAGGAAGGAACCTTACAAATATCTATGCACAGATGTCTTCTTTCACTTTTTAAAGGGTTTTTCGAAGAAAGCAACAGATTTGTAATGCTGCCCTACAGTACCCCTTGTGAGTTAGGGGAAAGCTACCTTTTTAAGGGGGCATACTTAGTTCTTGCCTCATTTTATTTATGAAACAGGGTTCCAGATAACTTGTGGCATAGATCATAAAAGGTTCACAACACCCAACAGGAAACACTCTTACCTGCACTCCGATCTGCAGACCTTTGTCCAGGAGCGCCCTCTTTTTCAGGATTTCGGCTTTGAGTTGTTCTTTGTGTTTAAATAGCAGAGCAGAGAGTTTGGTAGCATTCTGCTTGCTCCGTTTCTGTTCAACACTCTCCTCACGCTTCCGTTTTTTTGCTGCCTGTTTTTCTTCTTTATCTATCTTATCCAAAATATACTTCATCACCTGGTTACATACAATCATTCTAGAGAAAAATATACAACCTATGTAATACTGGATGTTTCACTCTCGAAGGTTTACACGAGTCCCCAATGGCCCTACAGGGATACACAGACTTGCTGTGACTGCCAAGCTGCAAACAGCAACAGGAACCCATCATGAACTATTTGTGCCCAAATGTTCTTAATTAGCAAACTTCAGTCAAGATAAAAATATATAAATTTACAACTCTTGTGCATGGCAGACTAAGGAAAAGAGAACAACATACACAAAGGCCCTATGTTCTTCCCCTACCTTTGATTTTCTTCTCTTTCAGTGGGAGTCAAGGTCTTTTTCTGTTTTAAATGTTCTATCACAGCATTATGCTTCATCACCACCTTCAGAACAGAACAAAGCCAAAAGTGCACATTTTATGACATTTAATACAATCAAAACAACAGTAAAAATCAGAGCAAACGCTTTTCAAAGATAAGGTAAGCTTTTTATATTACTAACACAAATGAAATTAAATTAGCAGCTACCAAATGTGCTTGGGTGCTTACCATGTTCTATTTATCAAGTATTTGACAATATTTTATTTATTCCTCATGACAATACTGAACCATAGGTATAATTTTATAAATGACAGAAAGAAATTAATGAACTTGTCATGAGATTAAGTAGCAATTTAATTAGAATTTTCAACCAACTATCAGGCTCCAAAGGCTATTTTTAGGTTATGCTCTCTTCTCAGGCGTCAATTTTAGAGTTGCTCCCCAGGCCCCCGTTTACAAAGATTAAGAAGGTAGGTACTGGAAGAATTCTCAATTTATACATTAGAGAGTGCTGAAAGCTGGGTAATGATGCATGTGAACACGTTATGTATTACTTCAACTTCATAGGAACGCTACAACCTTACACCTTTAAAATCACATACATGACCCATGTAATCATTATAATAATCCCTTGTGGCTGGAAAGAGAGGAGTTTTAATGAGGTTATAGGGTATGGGAGATAATTTATGACTGGGTAACACATAAAACCCACACTCAAACTCCTGCCTTGTGCTGAGCAGAGCATGCTGCCAATAAAAAGATTTCTCCAGTGAGCCACAGGATATCTTGTAGGTGTTTTAGTAGAGTAATTCTAATTCATCTAAATTATGCTACTTCACTAAAGTGCCACTGCAAAACAAAAAATGGCACTATTTAAGCTACAGAAGAATATATATATTTCAATTTTTTTTTTTTAAATAAAAATGTGGCTAGAAATGCAAATGAATCTAGTCTGTCTGCAATTGGTTTAGTCTTGGTCTATATGCAAACTAAATAGTAGATAATGTCAAATGAAGTGCTGTAAAGCCTGAAGTGGCTTTTAGATTTTTGTTAAACCTTCAAGTTTTGTATTAGTGATACTTAAACACAAAACTCCATCCTTCCCATCTTAAATACACATCATTTTTTCTTTCCTTCTTTTTGGTTGTTGTTTGTATTTTGAGACAGGGTCTCACTTTGTACTTCATGCTGGCCTCAAACTCACTATGTAACCCAGGCTGGCCTAGAACTCACAGAGATCCTTCTGCCCCAGGCTCCCGTGTGCTGGGACTTCAGGGGTGTGCCACCACACCCAGCTAGAAGTTTCTAAGAAGCACTTGACACTATATAACAAGAGAAGAGTTTCAAACCATTGGAGTCTTTGTGTTTGGGTTTCACCCAGTGCTGCTTCTGAATTTAAGCAGCAACGACTATCTCATTTAGGAAACCTAACACAACCAAGCACTAAGTCTACTGCACAGCACAATAATTCAAGCTACTGAACATGCTGCTTTGACGTAGTAACTTTACCTGTTTCTGAATGATTTCACTTTGGTTAGAAGCTTGGAGGGTGTGTTCACGCTTAATTTCTATCTGTTGCTGTTTCTTCTTTTGCTGCTGATCCCTGAGTTGCTGAACCCTTTGCAACTGCTCTTGCACACTGGCTGCCTGCACTGTCACCACATTCTGAATCTGGTGAGTCTGCACAGTACTGCTTTGCGGAATTTGAATAGGTAACTGGAGTTTGATGTGCTGGGGCACAACACCTTGCTGAGCCTGTATCTGAGCCACAACCTGCGACTGGATCTGAGAGAGAACCTGGACTTGTTGCAGCTGAGGCACAGCAATGACTTGGGGCTGCGGCTGCTGTACTTGTAGCTGAGGACAAGGTGGGGCTGAAATAGCAACTTGATTTAACGTTTGTCCTGATGAAAGAGTTTGAGGTGAAGACTGTACCTGGGGTTGTGACTGTGGCTGGCCTTGGGAAGGTATCTGAAGAGGTGTGTGTGGCTGAATTGGAATCGGTTGTGAGGTTGTAGTCTGAACCTGGGGCTGCTGTCCAGGAGACACCTGGGATGGAGTTGATGGACGTACTCGAGTCTGTGGCGGGCTCTGGACACGCACAGGAGACTGTCCTTGGACAGTGCTTGGAGGCTGACTCTGTGCTGCAACTTGGGGCTTGTTGGCGGACTGTGCTTGGCTTGGCTGTGCTTCAGAAGGGCCAAGGGGAGAAACAGCTGTCTGGGTCTGAGCTTCAGGCTGAGTCTGAGCTTCAGGCTGCACGGGGGACTGGGTCTGGGGCTGGGGCTGGGCCTGGGCTTGGGCCTGGGTCTGGGGCTGAGGCTGAGGCTGTGCTGAAGGCTGAGCAGTTTGTGGCTGGGCTTCTGCAGGACTCACGCTTGCAGACTGATCTGGTGGCAGGGGTTTGGCTTGCTGCACCTGTGTCTGGGGTGCAAATTTACTCTGTTTTTGTTCACCTGAACCTGTGGAAAGGAATGACAAACCAATTCCATTATTTTAGAAAACAAGACTGTGGTTAAAGAAGAGTCTGAAGGAGATTTCCCTCAAGTTGGAAATTCTGTGTTTCAGGGGAGATTTCAAAATGGTTTGCTTAGTCATGTTCACATCAGTGCTCCAAGGACGAGGGGCTGCACCCGTTCTGTTGCCCTCTGCATACACTCTTAACTATCCAGAGGGCTGGCTTCTCAGGCACAGCGCAGCCTCCAAAAGTGAGCCATGTCAGCATCGAGCTTTGATGTTTAGTTTACTTTACAGTGCAGCTGGTGCCTAACAAAGTGATCTGGACCTGCAGCTGTCAATTGCATGCTCTGAACAGGATGCATGTGCCAGCCCTGGGAGTATCTTCATAGCTCCATCAGGCTACAAGGCTTGGGAAGCATTAACAATTACCACGATAGCCTTTATTTGCACCCCATGTTTACACACACGTATGTACACAGCCAAATGGGAAGTGGTGACACGACTGTATAAGTAAGGCATGAAAACACCAAGCTGCCGGAGGTCGGCTAGGCTAACTGCTAAACTCACTGGCTTGAGGCACAGCCCATTAGAGATAAGCACTGGTTACCCTGTTCCCAGCAGTGAGTGCTAATAACATTTGGCCTCCAGCAAACTCAAGGCTCTACCTGCTGCTGTTGTGGAAACAGTCGTGGTGGTGCTGCTGGCGGCCGCAGCTGTTGTTGCCAGCGGCGTGAAGAGGAACCGCTGCACAGTCCCGTTCGGCATTGCTGCTTGCATGAGCTGCTGTCCGGGTCCCGGGAGTATGGTCACCCCTTGAGGTATCAGCTGTAACTGTCCAGTAGTTTGCCCTTGGCCTTGAATCACTACTGTCAAACCCTGATTGCCACCCTGTGGATAAAACACAGAACATGTAGTACTCAAAGCAACAATCTGTAAAGCATCTCAGTAAAATCATTTGTATGGTACAAAGATCCTTTAAGACAAAGAAAAAAATCTCTACATGTATATGTCCATGTATCCATGGACAGACTTACAAAGAATTTAGATAATCTAAATGAGAGTATCGGCGTTGTTCAGTGGGAGAAAGGCAAGAACAATCCGGAGTTGCAAGTCCAGCTCTCCAAATGCAGATATGTACAGTGGTATTGGGTTCAGGAAAGCTTTTGTCCCTAAACTGCACCCAATGAAGACCATGGCCACCTTTCACACACAAACACAAATGTGGCCATCTTTTCCACAATTGTGTAATAAACTGAGTTCATGAATTCTATCTATCCAAGCAACACTATAGTTTCCACCAAATTCTAATTTTTTTTGACAGAACCGGGGATTGAACTCGGGGCCTTGTTCTACTGAGCTATCTCCCCAGCCTTTTTATTTTATTTTAGGGAATGGTCTACAGGGCGTTCAGGGTCTCACTACTAGATTGGACTCATAGTAATCCACCTGTTTGCAGCCTCCCAAGAGCTGGGATTATAGGCATGTGCCACCACACACAGTCTCATTCGCTTTTTCAGTGTGCGCCCTTGGTGCCCCCTGCTCCCTCCTGGGGCCCGGCTGGCCCAGCCCTTGCGCCTGCTTGCAGGTGCTTTAATCCACTGAGCTATTTGGCCAGTCCCAAATTCTGATTTAAAAGCAACTTATATTCATAATATTTTACTTTTTTTAATCACCTTCATCTATATTGCCTCATTTGGCTCTCACAGGGGACTTGAGACCTAGTGAAACAGCAGCACTCCTATCACTACCAAGTCATTTCCAACTGAGCAGCTCAGGTGAGAGGGCTAAGTACTCGTCTAGCATGTGAGTCTGATTCCAGAAGGGCAGCAAAAAACAAACTCTGGTTATAAAGGTCAGGGCCCCTCAGGGAAGGGCCAGCGGCCAGGTGACTTCCGCCAGCAGACCTTCCCAACAGCAGCAGTAAGGAGACTCCAAACTGCACTCCAACGGGCCTGGACTCAAATCTGCTGATGGGAAAAAGTGCTCTCTTCCTGTCTGCTTTCTCCCACACAGGTTCTTGGAATACGCTTCTCTACTCTAAGGCCACTTCAGCTAGCGTCTGGAATTACATTTTCTGTTCACAGATGTGGGGAGCCAGTTTTCTGGGATTTAGAGCTCATCAGCAATGAATGTCCAGCCAGCAGACACGGATGAAGTGTGAGAGCAGGCCCCTGGCTAGGTCTGAGTTCCCCTTACTCTGTGCATTATTATTATTATTTTTTTAATTTTATTTGTGTGTGTGTGTGTGTGTGTGTGTGTGTGGGGCCAGCTCAGCCCACCAGGGGGCGGGGCTGGCTGGCATGTGGTGCTGGGGATTGAACCGCGGTCCCTGTGCTTTGCTAAGCTTGTTCTAAGTAGGTGCTTTAGACCACTGAGCCATCTCTCCAGCCCCAACTCTGTGCAGTATTAACTATAAGCTTGACTGCTGGGATCTGTTGGAGAACTAAAACGCTAAAGAAAAGCAACCACTGCATCAGCCAGTGGTGAAAATGAATGTCGTGTAGTCTCTGTACTGAGCTGGATATACTCGGGAGTCTCTCAAAAGTATTTACTTTTGGTTCTCTAAAATACTTTTTAAAATTCATGTTCAAAAATACAATTTTGAAAGAATGCTCTCAGGCCCAGGGGTGAGTGCGGCTGCACTTGTAGGGCGACAGACAGCACGCCTTTCACAGGCTCCAACCAAGGCACCTCGAGGAGTGTGGAGCCTCCCGGGTGCAGGAGACCCTTTCACAAGCACAGTGCAAGGGAAACGGCGTCTCGCGCCTGGGCCCACGCTCCCAGGTGAAAGGACGAAGCTCTGTGCAGGACAGCTCAGTCTCACCTGTTTCTGAATTTTATACAAGTGCAGTCATAATATATCATATATAATAAATGATATATAATACATATATTAATGTAAAGTTTTGATATACATATTATACATTTTATACATAAAATGTGTTTTTTGGTTATATTTTTTAGAGAGTACAAATTAGAGTTAAAACAAAAAATTACAAGTGATACTGATTTTCACTTAACAAAGTAATATGAATTTCACAGTATTTGTTACATAATACATAATATTGTCTTCCAACCAGTTATTCGTATTACCAGATATATGCATGTAAAATTGGAAGAAAAAAAAAGAAATGTATAAGAAATTAAGAAGATAAAAGGAGAAACGATTAAAAAAAGGAGATGACAAAAAACAAAACAAAACACAACCAAAAAAAAACAGATTTGGGGCTGGGGAGATGGCTCAATGTTATAAGCGCTTCCCTGGCAAGCACAAGGGCCTGAGTTCAATCTCCGGTTCCACAAAAAAAAAAAATAAAATAAAATAAAACTAAAAAAAAAATAAATAAATAAATAAAGGAGATGAAATAAATTAAAGTACTAACTGATTCTTTCCATAGACCAGCAGAGGGGTCCTGCCCCTTAGCTCAGTTCTTTAAGTGGTCGCTTCAACCAAGCAGTCAGGCTCAGGTGGCTGTGGTTCGATCCCCACAACTCAAGCCAGCCAAGCCTGCCCTGAGGGCATTGGGAGAAAAAAAAATCCATAGACCAACAGAAATGCACAGTATAGCTGTATCAACCATCCTGCTTACATACATCAATCTCTTCCCCCCTCCACCGCCTCAACTCAGTAACTCGTTCCTTCTGAGTAGGTGCACTCCCTTTTCTCAGTGTCTACTGGACCTTCAGAGTGAATTTTCTCTTTCAGGTTCTCACACTAAGGAGACAATACGATGTTTGTACATGTGAGTCTGATTTACTTCACTGAAGAGTATGTTCTCTAGTTGCATCCATTTACAGACAGAAGATTCAAATGTATCCTGTTTAACAGCTGAATAATACTCCATTGTGCAAAAATACCACATCTTCCTTATCCATTCTTCAGCTGATGGGCATCTGGGTTGTTTCCAGAATATAAAATACGTGTTACATGTATCTTTCATTCAGTATTTCTAAAATTTTATTTATTTATTTATTTATTTACGCAACAGGGATCCAATTCAGGACTTTGTGCTTGCCAGGCAGGCGCTTATGCCCCTGAGCTATCTCCCCCACCCCCATTTGTTTACTGAGACAGGATCTGATGAGGTAGTACAAAGTGGCCTTGAACTCACAGTGCTCCTCCTGCCTCAGCCTCCCAAGTGCCGGGCCTACAGGCATGCAGCTTGGACTTGTAGTGATCCTCCTGTTCTCACCTCCCCTGTGCTAGGATTACAGGTGTGCGCCACCACACCCAGTCCGGCTCAGTGTGTGTGGGGGCAGTGCCAGCATGCCATGTGGTGTCAGGGATAAGACTGATTTATAAACAATGCTGTAGGAATATCTATATCAATATTATCTTGGTGCTCACAAGTGAAGAGTTCTCTATGGATGTATCTAGAAGGAGAACCGAGACCGAGTAACGCACATCTTCAGCTGTCCTAGGTAACACCCAGATGGCTTTCAAAATGGGGTCAGCAAGTTACATTCTATCCATTTTATGGTACAGCTTATTCTGCTCCTCCTATTTGCTGATTCTTGGTTTTTCTGGAGATTTAACCTTAGGCTAATCTCTTGGTGCATGTTATTTGTTGCTGCTGTTATTTTTTGGCGGGAGTCAGGATTGAACCAGGGCCTCACACATGCTAGGCAAGTGCTCTACCCCTGAGCTACATCTCGAGACCTTAAAAAAAAATTGGACACAGTGATCCTCCCGCTACTCAGGAAATTGTGGCAGGAGGATCAAACTTGTTATCGTCCTGCCGCAATTTCCCGAGTAGCAGGCATAATGGGTGTGTGTCACTGTAGTGGCTTGAAGTTTTTATTTTTAAATAAGGTTAAATTATAAATCTTTCCCTTTGTGTGTTTTCTGTCTTAAGATAACCATGAAGATAAGCCACTGTAACCTCTGAAAGTCGACAGCGTGCCTTTTATCCTGCTAGCACTGAGTCAATCTGCAGAAGGAGGTGATGGCTCAGTCCCACGGTTTCTCACATACATTCAGCTGACCCACCGCCCTTTCTGAAAGGCGTACCCTTTCCAAAGTGACCTCCGAGACCACCGTGTCAGGTGCCGCACACTCCAGCAGAGGTATCATTCTACTCTCTCCTGGTGGCTTCTCTCTGTTCATTAGCAAGGCACCACAGTAACTCGGACAGCACAGAGGCACACACCTTCCTGTTAACAGCATTTGTGGTCTTCTGAATCTCTACGTAAAGTGTTAGCTCAGCAGATTAGAGCGCCTGCCAGCAGGCACAGGAGCCAGGGGTTTGATCCCTGGGCCTGCCGTGCTGGCCCTGTACCCCCGCTCCCCCGTGCTGAGATAGTGACTGACACTGGGCATGGTGGTGCTCCCCTGTAATCCCAGCACTTGGGAGGCTATAAACAGGCAGATCATTAGGAATCTGATCTAGTAGTGAGACCCTGAACACCCTGCAGACCCTTCCCTAAAATACAAAAAGAATAAAAAGAAAAAAAAAATGATAAAAATCAGCTTATGAAGTTCCACATAAAAATCTCTTTAAGATTTTATTTATTTATTTATTTATTTATTTATTTATTT